CTTTCCAAACGCTGAGCATTTGCAGAGCATGTGCACAAAGAGGAAGGCGAGTGGGACGAAAGGCCAGCCCCTGCTTTCCCCCGGAGAGGTTGCACACAGGGCACGCTGTGTCCTTTTGGCCTTCGGACCTGCTGGCAGGCAGATGATTTTCCTCAGATCTGTGAACCTCTGGGTTTTAAAGCGTGGTGTGTTTTGCAGGTGGACGTCCAGAATGAGACCACCTCAAAAAAAAAAAAAAAAAAAAAAAAAAAAAAAAAAAAAAATCTTGAGCATGTTGCCCCTAGATGCCTGCCTGCGTGTTGTTTGATCTAGGAAAGAGAGAGCCTCTGGGTGGGGAAACTGTATAATTTCCTACATATGTAAAATGTTTACGCACTTTTTTTTTTAAGTCTGCCATCTTAATTAATATCTGATTTTGAAATCCATATTCAGGCAGCTTTCCTGATTGCATCCAGCAGACTGCAGTTCCCATTCCCAAAAACAAGCCCCTTCTTTTTTTCAAGCTTTCCTTGGATTTATTTGCAAGGCAGTGTTTTGCTTTCTCTGTAAGCTGTTTGGAATACATCTTCACTAGCACTGTAGCCGGAGGGTTTGTATGTCATTCAAAAATAAAAATAAAAAAATCTCCACCTACTGAAAAGTGAACAGCATAGCCCTAGCAACTGGCTGGTGTGTTCAAACCAGAGGAAGGGACGTTAAACAAGTACGACCAAATAACGTCGTCTCTGTAGCGGCCAGGGATGCGGTAGAAATGCCGGCTGGTAAGATTAATCGTAACTGATAGTGGAGATAGCTGAATTTGGTTTTTTCGTGGTTTTTTGTTTTGTTTTTTTTTTTAATGGTGGATTGTAAATACAACCTTGATGAAGCAGTGCTTGTTCTTGTCAGCATGAGCAAGGTATTCAGCTGGGAGCTCTAAAAAGGGGATCCTGCCTCTGTAAAAACATTCCCCCCACCCCATCTTGCACTGATTGAGCAGGCAGTAAGGTAAGTGTGGTTGTTTTCTTGGAAAGAAAGAGAAAAGTTATTTTGAATGGTCCGTCAGACAGGGTAGTGTCAGTACTTTCCTCCCAGGTGTGTTCTCGATGGCGTTATGCCAGGGGTGGCTTTCGTGCGTCTGCCTCTCTGTCTCCTGTGTGCACCTTGGCTTCTCATTCATCTACTGTGTCATAGGTCCATCTGTGTTAAAATGATGATTTTCCTTTTTTCCCCTCGCTTTCTGTTTTTGTGGATGAAAGGAATTTAAGCTGCTTGACATCATCTGAAATATTAGCTATTCCTTATTTTCTGAAGGAGCTCCATTGTGCTTCTCCAGGGTGGATTTTCGTTTGTGTTACCTGACTGTGTGGTTTTCCTTAGTTACTGCCAACAAAAAAACCCAAAGCCTTGAGTTTTCTCTTAGGTTTTATTTCCATTAGACCAAAGCCGTAAAAAGCAAAGAGTAAAGAAAGGAACATACATACTGGGAAAGGTTTGCTGTGTTAATGGTCAGCCCAGGCTCCTCTCAAAGTTTGTGAAATCAGAGACGGCCTCGGTGCCCTTCGGTAGGTGCAGGGATTAATGCAGTGGTGTTTCAGTATTGTCCTCTTTCCTGTAATCCACAAAGGGCTGCTGATTTATGACTTCTGTCTAATAATTGCATTTCTTCCACTCCGTCTGCACCTTCCCTTTCCACCCTCTCCCTCCTGTGGTTTCTTGTCTTTTTTTGTTTTATGCAGTTTGGTTCTTTGGTCCACTGGTGTACAAGGTCTTTGATTTCCCTCCTGCCTGTCTGTTCCCCGTGTGTCGGTGTCCAAAGAATAAAAAAGATTCTATGCCCTTAGTGGGAAGGGATGCCTCCAATACTATTTTTCTGTCACAGTGGTTTTACTTCCTGACTGCTAGATGTGTTGCACTGTACTGGGAAGGTGGCCAGAGCAGGATGTGCTGTTCCAGGCTGGTTTTCAATGACCACTTTTAGGACCAAATAGCTGGGATTTTGTTGCGTCGTCCCCAGCTGTTTGGCTTGGAGGCTTTTTGTTCTTCCCTTTTTTCTTCTTTTTCTTCACCTCTCCAACTTTCTCAGCTGTAGGCTTTGTCAGGCTGCTCACAGGTGCTCCATGAGTGATGGAAAGGTTTTTGGAGATCGGTATGTTTGCATGGGGTTGCTTCACTAAATTTTATCTTAAAATTTCTCAGTGCTGCTCTCAGCAGCACGACTCCCTTTGCAGTAGCAGTGGAGGAAGCACTGTGCAGACTGACATGTCTCTTTCCTTGGAGGTAGGACCAGGTCACAGTGGGGTAGATGCTGGAGGTCTTCTGGACGCTGCTGGTACCACCATCTGCCACTGCTGCTCTCATCAGTAGAGCTGCCTTAGGGATTTTTGACAACCGTGGACAAAACCCTTGTTTAGGAAAAGCAAGGAGTGCTTTTTTTGGAAACATGAGGGGTGGTTGTGCCTGGATGAAGTGCAGGGATGGTGATTTTTCTGTGCCTATGAGCTATGGCTTTATTATGCAAGAGTAAATTAGCAGTTCCTTGCCTCCAGTAAACGTCTTTCCTAGACAGAAGGTGAGAAACAAGGGGTGCACTGTGAACAAATGTGATTAGGGAGCACTCCATTCCTTAGCACATTTTTAGCTTGCAGTAGGCTTTTCCTAGGTAGCCTCCTTGGTACCGTATTTAATGCTTGATTGTGACCTGCACTGAGCTCAGTGGTGGCCAAGGTGGGAAGGCACCTCTGAAGGTCTCCAGTCCATCCGCTGCCCAAAGCAGGGATGCCCAGGGCAGGCTGCTCTGGGCAGGGTCCAGTTGGGCTGTGAGTAGTTCCAAGGATGGAGACTCCAAAAGGGCAACTCTTTCCAGTGCTTGCCATTCTCACAGTAAAAAAGCTTTTTAATTTTTTTTTATTTAGGCTTTTTTTTTTCTTTTTAATGCTTAAGTGGAATTACCTGTGATTTATTGTGTGCCCGTTGCCTCTTGTCATGTCACTGGGTACCACTGAGAAGAGTCTGACTCCATCTTCTTTACTCGCCCCATGAGGTGTTTATGCACATTGGGAAGATCGTGGGCACTCCTGATTCACAAACATTAATTGGCTGTTGTGGGTTTGTGTGTGCTTTGGGTTTTTGGTCCTTTTCCACTTAGAGCTGTAAGGATTCGGTGTTTTGCCTGGGGCAGCAGCCGCCCTGGGCTTTCTCTGTGTGCTCTTTGCCTTCAGGGAGAAATCCACCACAAATCATTCATGCTCTGCATTCATAGACACCATATTTGAGCAGGACCTGATTATCAGAGCCAGGAAATCCTAAAGGAGAAAAAACGACACTGTCTTCAGTATTTTCCAAGTGAATGTGTCTGCAAAAGCTGCGTTTTCTGCTCTTTATCAGGCGTAGAGGCACCGGACCACATGTCTTGTAGGATCTTCATATTATGGCGGGTATTGTACTGCTTGAATTTTAATATTTACATTGTGTTTAAAATTAGAGGCTTCTTCCTTGAAGGTTGGAAGTCTTCAGTTATGATGCTATTGCATTTTTTAAGATTTGCAACACTTTAGCTTACAGGTATTTTGACTTTTTGAAGTTCTCTTGGCTTTTCTGACTGGCAACTAAATAATAAAGCAAGGCATTTGCCAAAAGCACTACTCTTTGTGCTGTCATTCAAAAGTTACCTAAGGGTTTGGACCTACTTCATGTGATAAAAGTTGTGATATGGAAGGTGAAATGTTTGTTAGCATTTTAAGGATAGCATTTTAGCAAAGCCAGCTGGCAGCCTCCAGTAGCAGCTACTTTGCAGCTGGGTCAAACCAATAAGGTGATTTGTAGGAGGGAAAATTCTGTTTATAACATGAATTTTTGTTTTGGTTTGGGTTTTAGTAGACTCTTTTCCAGGACTTATGCCAGAGATACTGTGAACAACTTTCTTAATTGCTTTTATTGGGTCAAATGTTAGCAGCGGTGCAGCCTAATACAAAAACCAAATGGCAGGGTATGCAAAAGGTTAAAGCGAGTTTTCCTTCCTGGTGTTTGTTTAGCTTTGTTCCCTAACTGTATTTAAAGCAGGAGTAGTCTCATGTGTCCTAGATTAAAGCTATGGCAATCTGGGCTATTTCTGTGGTTTGTGTGTCCATTGTGCCGGGGTGGAGGGATTGGATACGCCTCTGACCTCTGTGGCTCCACTTCAGCAAAGTACCCAAATAACATGCTTAACTTGTAGCCCATGGGGATTTCAGGTCTACTAGTTCACCTGCCCAGGCAGCAAGTCAGGCAGGTTTGCTTTCCCAGACTCTGTTGGAAATACTCCTCTGGGGACCACTTCTGGCTTTCAGAAGTTTGAGGGTAAGATCAGATTGCGTTATTGTGGTGTGAATCTCCGCGAAGCTCAGAGCAGCGTTTTCGGAGGGGTAGCCTGTGCATCTACACTATGTCCAGTGAGTCATGGGCATTTGAGATATCCTGGCTGTAGGCAAACAGTTGCATGCCTGGGACTTTTGGATTGTCAGACATCCAGAAATCTTGGGCAACTAGCCAAACTCCTCTTTTTCTATACCAGCAAATTCCCGGTGAGAAAAAAAATACAGGAGATAGACACATGGTTTATTGCTGAGTTGCAGCTTCCTTTTAGCCATAGAAGGCCTGTGTCTTCTAGGTGAGCTTCCCTGAAGTACCATGTGGGATTTCTGAGGTGCTCTATGGGGTGCCCCTTCAGTGGCATAGACCCATGGGCAGAGCAGACCACAGGCTGACCAACAGTAGGAACTGGATCATCAGGTTGGTGCTTTGGTTCTTTGATGCCAGTTCATGCCTGGTGGTGAACACCTCTAAGTCTTGTGGTCAGCAAATGGCCCCAGTCTTCCTGCTGGTCCGGCGATGGTGGTGTCTGAATTCAGAGAACATGCAATGAAATGAAATTCTCTTTTGCAGATTAAATTGCAGACTTGAGGCTCTGGATCCAACTCACACTATCGGTGTTTTATTGCTTCTTATGGTGTAGCTGGTGATAGTTCCTGAGAAGAGACAAGATGATGAGTGATGCAAGTGACATGCTCGCTGCGGCTCTGGAGCAGATGGATGGCATTATAGCAGGTAAACACTTGGGACAGCTTGTTCATTTAGTTGGTTCAGTCCTCCTTTCTCATACCTGGAGGGCAGAGTTTCAGGCAGAGAAGGGAACGTGCTGGTAATTGTGTTTGGTGTCTTCCATTATAGTTTAAAGATCACAAATAAATGGAGTGGAGGGAATGCACAGACTCTCACACACAGGCATAGCTGAATGGATTGTAGTTCTTCTCCTACCCTCTATCAAAATGTTGCTTAAAGTGGCTGAGAGGTGCAGTTCAGCTGGTGCACGCAGCACCATGCAAGCCAAGGACAATGCACGTTTCAAACCAGGATGAGTGTGTTTAAAAGAGCTGCTGCAAGGCAGGAAGAGGAAGTTTGCCTAATACTGGCTACTCTGAACTTCTCTCAACTCTGAAGAGTTAAAACATGAATTTAATTTTCCTTTTTTCAAAATTGGAATGCTTTGGTTCCAAACATTTGGTTTGGACCTGCCTTGAACGTTTGAGTTTTTTATAAGTACTTATAAAATGTAAGTGGTCCAAGGAGAGGCATCACAAAGTATACAATCTCTGCTTTTAAGTTGAGTCTAGTGAGTTAGAAAATAATGTAAGTACACAACACAGAGGAGCAAAGCGGCAAGAAGCTAATAGTTTAATCCTATTCCAGCAGAGCAATGCAAACAGCTACTCAAACTGAAAAAATACTCTGCAAAGATAGCAATACAGTTATAAAGTCTTTAATAGTTCCACTTAAAATAATTTCCCTTAGGGGGAAAAAAAATAATCATACAGTGCGTGCTTTGTTTGAACAATGACTTTTCTCTGCAGTTTTCCTAAAGATATTAAGGACACATAGCAGGAACACATGTAAAGTGGGTTCAGTTGCATCATAATGATCTCTAGAAATACATATAAGCTGTGACTTCAGTAATTTCCATAAGTAGGTACTGGTATTTGGATCCGATCATGTATCTGTGTTTCCAAGAGCCTGTTGGTTATGGCAGGATGAGGTTTAATATAAAAATAAAATCTGATGTTGGGATGTTTAAGTCACCACAGACTTAATTTACCTGTGTGTCTGAGCAGGCTTGCTTATAAAGTAATATAACAAAGGGATATCAACTCCTATGCTGTTGTGGGGATTTTTTTCTCTTCACTTTTTTTCAGAGGGAATTAGCAGAATACTTGCAGTTCTGTGGTTTACCAGATGAGGTGAATGAAAGTTCATGGAAGTGCATATATAGCATATCACTGTAGTTTCCAAAAGTTGACAGTACAAAAGTTGATGCTCTGTCATGAACATGTCTCATTGTGCCGAGGCATTACAGTATTAAGGTCACAAATCAGTATGCTGAAATTATAGTTGGAATTAGCTTAGGTTGACTTAAATCAACCTTAATCCTGAATTTGTAGTTTCCTTCCTTACTTAATATATAGCAACTTTCAATGTAGGTCAAGTGTATGTACTGTGAGTTTATGCCAATGAGAGATTTTTCTCTTTATTAGTATGCAGATGTCAGTGCTACCATGTCAACCTGTTGGGTTTAAAATTTATTCTCATGTAGAAGTGATACACTTTTTTTATTTATCTTTGTGTATTTCTTTATTATTTAAAAAAAAATATTTCCACTGCCTTGGAGCAGCATAACATATTTCTACATGGGAAAAAAAAATGCCGAGCATGGTTTCCTCTGGAAACCATCAGTGTCTGCCTTGGGTCATGCAACCTCTACAGGGTGACTCAAAGTGTTACCAGAGTCTGTTCCTTTCCACCTCCAATGCATCCCAGATAGCAGGAACCCAGCCCATGCCTTGAACCCATGGGCACGATTGTGGTGTATGTGTCCGCTCTTGAATCAGCCCACCTCCTTCCTGATGGAGCTTCTGTCCACCTAGCACAACAGCGAGGGCTTGCCCTTCTCCGAATTGCCACATGGCGCGGGGAGAATCCAGCACCAACGCTGAGTTTGGTTCAGATAAATACCCGCCGGGAGCAAATGCCGCCTAGCGTTTCTCAGCCTTGCTGCAGGTCTGACCTGCTTGTCTCGTGCTTGACCTCATGTGATTTTTTTTTTTTTTTTTTGCTCCCTCCAGGTTCAAAGGCACTGGAGTACTCCAACGGCATCTTTGACTGCCAGTCCCCTACTTCTCCATTCATGGGGGGGCTACGGGCCCTGCACCTAGTGGAGGACTTACGGGGCTTGCTGGAGATGATGGAAGTGGATGAGAGAGAGGGGCTGCGCTGCCAGGTCCCGGACTCGACGGCAGAGGCTCTGATTGAATGGCTCCAAAGTCAAATGGTACAGTTATCGCCTTGTTTCACTCGTAACACGCTCGTTTGGTGTCTTAGCTAGACCACCTCAGGCAGCGGGGCTGTGCTTTATGCAGGGCATTTGAAAGTTTTAGAGCAGGTTTCAAAGAACCAAAGGGAAGAGCTTTTGGTTTGGAGATGATGCTGTGGGGCCTTGGAAAAAACTGTAGCACAAATACCTTGTGTAGTGGGTTGGCCTGTGCTTTTTTTGATGTACCACTGTGCCTCATTTTGGGGAACAAAAAATTTTCAAATTTTCAAATTGGAGTTTCATCTCAGAGCTTTGGGGAAGGACATTTCTATACGAATCAGACACTTAAACGGGGGGGGGGGGTGAGGGGGGAAGCTGCTTTCAATATAAACTTTTCACTAAATAGCATTTTTGTCAGCATATTTTCTACAGGGACCAGTGTTGTTGTTGCTGAGCTTCCTTATCTGGTTTATAACAGAAATGAGTGGTATGAGCTCAGCATCCCTTTAACCTGGAAACCAAACAAATTTTTATTTTCTGTGTTTGTGACAGTCTAACAGTGTTTGTCACCCTTGCTTTAAAAATATGCCAAAATAATCTGACAAGGCTGTTCTTTCCCCAAGACTTGGTTTTCTCAAAAAATCAAATATTATTCGAGTGGAGAGTACCTGAAGACTATGCTGGGAAATAAAATGTTGTGTTTATCAGAGAGTGAGTTACATGGCATTGTTTTCAAAGGACCCACTGTTTTTTTTTCTCCAGGTGCCCTGTGACCAGTGACTTCCTAGCAGGGCCAAATAGGAGTCCTTGTGCTCGTGGTCTGTGGCAGGGTTTGCATTGTGGTGGTGTGGGTGTGCACAGGTTTTGGGGAAGCTCCAGCAGTGGAAGTCAAGACTTATTTCCAGAGGCCGTGCTCCAGGGTCTAAGTCAGCCTGTAGCTGTAACAATGACAGCAGCAGTGGGCGTGCACTTCTGCAGATTTTGTCAAATCCATATTACAGCAGTGTCCAGGTCTTCCCGTCTGACACACTTGGTGTTGGCCGAGGTAACGCCATACTGCTGAAGCAGGGGTGCCAGATCCGATGAAGGCTGGGTCTGACGCAGGACAGGCCACCATGGGTGGCTCTGTGTTGCACCCTGTGCATTGCGGCTGTTGGGACA